TGTATTCATAAGTAAAATTGATCCTATATGTTTTGGCAATAAGGATTATTCTAACATTATAACATGCAAGTATTGTCTGTTTAAAAAAAAATAGAAGAAATAAGCTATAATAATATCTTTGCCTGGTAATTTTTAAAAAGTATTGAAGTATAATAGACATATAATCCAAAGTAGGTTGAATAACATATTTAAATGAATAAATAAAATAAACCAACATAGTGCTAAAGAGAGAGCCAAGACATCAGAAGGAAAGAAGCATAAAAACATGTAGAGATTAACAAAAAGAGGCCAAATCTGAGGTTAAATAAAATTTTATAGAAATTTGGATTTGAGGAGAGGTTATTTTTCATTTAAAGGAGGCAATAGTAGGCAACTAACAGCTTTGAAAAGAAAAGTAATCTTGGGTATCACATTACCCAAGATGATGAGTAAAAACTGAAAAACAAAACAAAACAAAACCAAGCAAGAAAGGAAACAAAAACTCCAGCTCAGTTCTTTAGGAATACAGCTTTGGCCAGAGAAAAAAAAATTAGAGGCCGAAGGGAAGCTTCTAGTGTGGGTCAGACATTTTATGAACACTCTCTTTTTCAATCCTTGAGACAAGTGCATGAGTAATGGTCATAATTATAATCATGTTTACCTTTGAGGAAACTGAGGCTCAAGACATTAGCCACTTATCTCAACTATCAAGGGTTGGAAGTTGAACAAGAAGTCTGCCTAGAAAGGTCTGTGCCTTTTTTAAAAAAAAACACAGCTATGTGACAACTTGTTTCAAATGCATCTGGAAGAGAGCTGAGGTGGAACATGTCTGTGGCAATGCTCCCTAGATTGGGTGATGGTGCTAGGGGAATCCACTTCTGCTATGTGAAAGTGACGCACTGGTGAAAATGAAAAGCAGATTGCAGGTGGTTAAAGTGATGACAGTAGCAGAGAAAATCAGAGATAGTGGGGTCAGGCCACTCCTTGAAGAATTTTGGGAATACACATAGTAAATTGTCAATAACTGTTTAAGTGTTGATTCTTCTTAATGCATTTTTTTCTTTTTTTTTTTGAGACTATCTAGAAAGGTCAAATTATGGCCACAAAGAAAGTGTCCATTTCCTAAAACAGCTAGGTTTAAAAGGTTCTAACTTCTCAACTATTGTTTTTAAAAATCACTTAAATATACTGGATAATTCCCAAGAGTTTTAAAAAATGAATGAGTAGAAGTAATGCTTAATTTCCCAATACATAATCTGTTGGACTCTGTTATAAGGGCTTCCTATTCTTTAAAGTTGTTCTATTAACAATGACAGCACAATGCAGCATTGCAACTTCCATTCAAGATGCTGGCATGTTTTTGAGAAGACTTTACATTTCTTATGCTTTCTGACAGCAGAAGTGGATCTAACAAAAATTTAAAAATAAAGGTGGAAAAAAAGGAAAGACATCACTTTATTTTGGTTTTGGGGGAAAATAAAACTTTCCCTATTGATTTTGAGGGAGAGTTTCCTGCTGACATTCCAGAGCTAATTGAATTTTCAGTAATTTGCTATTAGTACTGTGTATACTTGCTGAAGACTCTGCTAATGAATAATTTATGAAGCAGGAAGATGATGTTAGGTCTCAATGTGGATGACTGCCAAATCTACATCTCTCACCTTGATATTGTTGTAGCTCAGCTCCCTTTCTACTTTTTCAGCTACCTGAGGAAACTCCATGTGAATTTCCCACTATTAACTTAAATTCAACAAGTGTAAAACCATAGCATTCTATTCCTCAAACTCTTTGTATCCACTACCTTATTTTTGTTAACAGGACCACAGATCTCCTAGCTACCTAGACTCAAACCTTCAACTAGCAACCCTACTCTCTACTGAGGGCTGACAAGGCATAAGTATTTAATCCTCCTCCAAGCCCTGTGAAGTAGGTGCCAGCATTATCCTTACTTTGTGATGGGGAAACAGAGGCCAGTGGGGTTAGTAATTTAAATTCACCTAATTGGAGAGTGGGAGCTCAGGACTGACTGTCTTACCTAGGTCTGCAAATATCCAGATCTTGAAACTTTCATCTGACTTGTCATGTTGCCTTAAAATTACCTGTGATTCTTTCCAGTTTACTTAATCATGTAGACTTTATTCTTATAATGTCTTACGCTACTGTCCTGTCCTTTCAACTTTCCATGCTACTACCTAGCTTTGCCTTTCAGCTCTCCGAGGTGGTCTCCCTGCTCTTTATCTGTGTATTCTTCTTAAAGCTTCACTTCATTCATACTATTAGCCTAATGAAAACCTTAGATGGGTGACCATGGTCTGAGTGTAGTTTTCTTACCCAGATATTGGAAGGGTTACTGTGCACCCTTCTGATCTTACTTCTAACCACTTACCTTCATGAATCCTCTATTCTATTCAGTCTAGACTTCTTCCTTTACTCTGAACTCCTCTACCTGTTGAAATTCTACTAATTGCCTTCATGACTTAGATTAAGTGCTACTTCCTTCATAAAGTCTTCCATGGATCCTTCAATCAGATAAAGCTGTTTCGGATTTTTCTCAGGACAATATATTCTAGCCAGTACTGTGGTAACTTGTGCACTTCTCTTATCATCCCTATAGGATTCTAGCTCCTTTAGGGTTTGAACTGTATATTACCATTATCTGTGTAGCTGGTAGCATGTGGTACAGTGAAATACACATAAATTTTCCTTTAAAAGTGAAGATGAACTAACTTTTATTGTTAGGTACTGTCACAGTTGGTGGCCCATGTACTCAAGATGTTTTCAATCCAGTAAGGGAGACAAAACTAATATTCAAAAATAATCTAGAAAACTATTGGGAGCTCCACTGTGAGAGTGAATAGAAGAGAAAATAGGAGGGAAGGCATAGGTGGAGAAAATTTTATAGAAAAGCTGGGACCTGAGTTTGACACTAGAAGGTAAAGAAAGTTGATATAAGTTCAAGGGACATTTGGAAGAGGGAAGAAACATGAGTGAAGCCTCCATTTTAGGGATGGGCACAGCAGACCTGGGACAAAGATGGCACTTTAGGAATACTCATTCATAGGGAAGAATACAGTTCAGTGTTTCAAAGTAAAACAATCTAACTCCCTTAAAATACAGTCTCGTTTATTTAAAAATGTTCAAACACAAGACTGTTTGTGATAACTAGCATTTTTCCAAGTTAGTTGCAGTTAGTTTTGCTGTATATCCCTTTATGGCTATGTAATTGCTAGAAATCATCATTGACTATCTGAGTTACAGTATATAATAATATGGTGGCAAAATGCTTCCTTTTTCTTTAACTGTCATCATATTTTAAGGTTTTGATTTCTAACATAGTCAAACATATATGGTAAGAGGTTATCTCATGGATTAGAATTTAGAACTCTGGAAAAATAAAGCCATTTTTATAATGAGCTTTCTATATACTAAAGAAATGTCTTCATCTGATTTATTTATGCAAAATGATTTTATGTTGTTCCAAAAGGGGAGATGTTCACAAATGAATAATGCAAATAGGAAACTCATTTACTTATCATGCTTGTGATCTAATCCAGATTCAAAACCAGCCTATAGAGATTACCAAATATTGGATGTAATAAATTATTACTCAGACATATTCCCATTAAGGCATTAACAGAAAAAATAAAGAAAATTGATTAATTCATTACTTAAAAAGTCAGGACAAGCAGAAAGAAAGGGATTTAGAAAGTACACATTTTTTGACTATATGCAGTTCTTAGAGAAAAATAAGACATCGGTAATTAGATTGATTATAAAACAATGACTGTCTTTTACATTGTTAATTTTTTTATGTGAATACACATGATTTTTTTCCATAAGACTGGAGCATTGCTAATTTTCTCCATATGTGTATAATTTGCCTTTGACCTTTAACAAATGTCCTTTAAGCAGTCCACTTACCATGCAAGAGCAACGCCATAGCACCATTTTACACACACACAAAGAGTTGAAAGCTTCATAAAAATAAATGATCCATGATACAAGATACATTAACCAGCAGAATAATAAGCTATTTCAGCCCTGTAAATTTTAGTGCCCATCCATTCAAAACCACACTGGGTCACTTTAGGATTAAATTCAGAGGAACAAAATGGTAAATGCACATGTTTTATTTGGTAAGCTGCCAACCATGTATTTTGTGTAAAAGTTTGTTAGCCCAGGAAAACCTATGCAAAGGCACATCAGGCAGTGTACGTTTGAAAAGTGTCTCTTTCCAATATATAATTTTATGTGTTACAGATACATTTACTATTAAGCATCATGTATATTTAATGGCACAATGTCTACTTTGATGCCCTAAAAAGCCTTTGTTCACTTTATAGTTTCCATTATCGAAGAACTAACGTTCAGTTCCCCCACAATTTTGTAAAGTGCAGGCAACCCACAAGAGTTTCTAGTTTTAGCTAGCTGCCCCGTGGGACCACGATACTTGTTATGAAGTCATTAATTCTACCTCAGCAGTTTCAACTGTCAGGTACATGTAACAATAATTGCAGTTAATGAATGCTGCTCAATTTATTAAGTGCAAAATGAAAACCAGTATTCTTTTTATATGCAGCACTGAGGCATATTATCATTTATCATTTGTATGTAACATGTTAAATATTCCACTGTCATTTATTGGACAGTGTATCTAGCCATATTTTTTAAAACATATCTTCATTAAAGGACAATGCAGGAAATTCCAATTCCCTGATAAAGGGGTAATTTAAAAAATTAGTTCCAAAAGCAATATTTAATAAAAATCTACATCTATGAAAAACAGCCTAGTAGAGCCAAAGACTGGTTCCTGTTTTGGATAAACAAGATTCTGTCTTGTGCCACATTCCTCTCCTAAAGTCCTTATAAAAGAATGAGAAAGTCCAAAAGCTTCCAGTTGTTTGAAATATTAGTGTTGTGTCTCACTCCAAGTTATGGCGAGGAAAACTTTTGTATACACAGAAACAGCCTATTTCTTGATTAAAAAAAACAAAACTAAGAACTAGATTTCTTGTTTTCAATCACTCAAAGTAAACTGCATAGACATTTGCAAGAGCAAAGAGAGAAGAATTTCTGAAAACATAAGATGAAAAAGTATCACTTGTAGGATCCCAGAGGCATCTGCTTCCAATATGTATACTCTGACTGTTCAGTTGTCCGATGTGAATAATCACAATTAGCTTATACCGAGGAAGCATCAAATCCTTGATCTGGGCTTTAATAACCTATCAATTTGAAAGGGGGGGGGAAAAGTCTTCATTTATCATTTAGCCATATTGAAATTTAAAAATCTTAATCTTTGTCATACATATAGTGGATTTAATTTTTTTTTAAATTACATGATGCATTGTTGATACTTTCATTAATTGTTGTAGATCCATAAATATGATTTCCTTCAAGCACTGTCCCCATCTGAGTAGATGTTGTTGTTGTTGTTATGTGCCGTTGAGTCAGACCCAACTCATAGTGACCCCTCCTTGGGTTTCTGAGGCAGTATCACTATGGAAGTAGATTGCCCCATCTTCCTTCCGAGGAGTGGCTGATGGGTTTGA